CAGAATCGTACTGAAAGACTGCAGCACTAAGTCAGACAACAAGACGCTTTTTATACCTGAACCTCCCTTAGACAAGAGCAGATTCTTTCCAGCTTTTACCCGAGAGGTGTGAATTCTGTAACACCGCTTTAATCAGCTCTACCCTATCGAGGCTTCTCTCACTGGGGACACACTGGGGAGAAACAGTCCCCTGTCCACCCTCCTTGCACCGCCAGTTTGTCAATATCTTATAATGTAAAAAATGTAATAGCCAATTCAGAGCCTGTTTCTCTCTGAGCATACAAAATGAGCCTAAACCCCACTTGGACCACAGAAGTAAACCTATCCAAAATGAGCTGCGGAGAGGTTGGAAGATGCAGTAAGAAAGATTAGATTGGGGAAAAACATTCAGAGTAGTTAGTTTGTTCGCCCACTGCAGATCTAATCTTCAGTGACCCCCAAGAAGCAGGAGTAAATTATTCATTAAGAGTCAAATGGCTTGTTTCTTGTGAAATTACCTTTCTCTCCCTCACCTCTTCTTAGGATCTACACTAGCCAGAAGAATAATTAGTTATAAGGGCAAAGACATTTTCAGACTTTAATCATGTTATAGAGAAGGCTCCTGCAGTGAGCATATTAGATCTGGAGACGGGGAAAGCAGAAAGAGAAAAAAAAGAATAAAGCATTGACGAACACTTAAGAAATCTGAGCTGCCTGGGTCTTTAATAAAATGTTGATGTCATATTAAAGATGAAGATTTCAACTCAACAGTCAGAGGAAAATGGAGTGGTTATTGAACTTGTCAGCTCCCCAGGACACGCGCATGCTTTCGGCCCTGCTGGGTGTCTCTACAGGAAGATCTCTGTATCAATCAATCAATTTTTTTCAATCCAGATCATGCATCCATAAAAATACAATTTCAAAGTCATAACTGTAGGTTACCATAAGTAACTGCAGGGTAAGTCTGCTTGTTTGGACAGAGATAGGCAGTTTACAGTGCACATACAAATAAATATATATGTCCTAAATATATATTGAAATGGGTAAAGAGTGCACATTTAAACTTGTAATGTTCAGAGGTGAAAGAAACATTTAGATTCCTTACTCAAATTGATGTTATGAAACACAACGATGCAACATATTGTTAAAGGTAAAGTCAAAATTGTATTTAAACCTGCAAAAGCTGACTTTTTTTCCACCTGGGGGCAGCAGAAGCTAGTTGTGACTACGATTGTATATTATCACCTTTTAAATTCATATCGAGTTTTATTCCTACATATTCAGTATAATTAAGTACTCCGTATAGCTGTTAGTAAGATATCTGCACCGCTAATTGGTCTCTAACGTAACTTAAGTAGTCTAAACGTTAAAACTGAAGTAGGAGTCTCAATCGGAAGAATATCCTTTGCTAGACACACTGGTTTGGTGTCAGTCCCAAGCTTCTGTGTAAGTTATGGCACAGATTCCAGTTAAGTGGCTCCCTGATCTCTCTGCTGCATTAAAACTATAGTGTGCTTCTGGGGGAAGGGGTTAAAATGGTGTACCTGTCACTGTAACAGGCTGATTATTGCCTGTGAAGCTGGCAGGCTTGTGAGGATCACTTCCCTCCGCACACTCCCTGCTGGGAGAGAGGCCTGGGGCCTGTGCTCAGTGAGGCTGAATGACTCACAATTACCACAGCGACAGAGCCTGCAGCCACCTCCCATCCTCTCCAGCCGTTTCACTGACTCACTTAGCCCACATGACAAATGACAAAATCACCCGAACCTCCGCCCCCTCACTAAGACCTGATTGCCCATCGCCCACACTTTGCCTACAGTACTTAAATCTGGGATACATCTTGCCAAGCTTCATGAAACAAAACAAACTTGGTCTGAAAATAACTTGTACAGGCCTTTCAAACAGCATTTGAATGTGGTTCACATTGTAGATGGTGCAGTTTTCTGAGCTAGGAAACAGTAAACTTTTGACATTAAAAGCTGCAGCCCTGAAAATATTCATCTTGTCACTTGACAAACTTCTTTAATGTTACAACACAAGTCATTGAAAGAAGTAGACATTAATTGGGGTGCATCATCAAAGGGTGACTTCTTGGAAAAAAGTGCTTCACTGTTAATCAAACAATGTTGCCTTACGCTTGCTAAAAAGTATGAATATTCCACTAAAGTGGAGTAATGCATTAATCTTTAAGCACTGCGAAAACAACAGGGAACTCAGGGGTGTTCCTCCAACTTGCTTACACTGCATAAGGCAAAGTTGGATGCGTGCTGATAGTTAAATCTTACACCTCATATACTCTGCTAGTTAAATGCAGAGCGGCAAGAGAATTGGAGTAGTAGGCAGTTTTTCAGAATGGAGTGTAAAATAGTGATTGTTATAATATTTAATGATGAAAAATATGTTCTGTGCTGCAGTATAACGCGTGACCTCTGCAACAGTAAGACGCATTGTTCAGCAAATCATGAAAACATGCAAAGACTATATGTAAAAAACGATGCTATAAGACATTTAGATTAAAAAATTGAGCCACAATTGCATTTGAAGACATGGTGGTGTGGACAGTCACACGGCATGTGTTCTCACACTGGAGTAGTAATTGCAGCTCTTGCTCGGTGCTTTCTTTTATTTTTTAGAGCTCATTTTAACATTTGTCTTTTGACAATGATGCTGCACACTGAATCTGACACCTCTAGCAGTGCCAGACACTTAAGTCTACTGTTACAACAATAGCACAATGCTCTCTTCATCTCTCCTCCTGCAGCCTGTCCTCTCAGGCTTTTTAATGAAGACTGTGCAAGAGAGGGAGAGGGAGGGATGCCTTGCTCAATTTAAAGGTTACTGTACAGCAAAGCATGCTGCAATATGTTTTTGCTCAGATAGGAGTGTTGGCGCCATCTGAGAGTCGCTCTAGACAAGCAGCAGTGTTGCCAAAATGATCTGGATCTTAAAAGCAAGGGGCAGTTTTATAGAAATCAAGAGCAACATATTTTTCAAGAACCCTAAAGGGCCATTTTTTAAGACACCGCAGGAGATCTTAAGCACTATCTGGGGAGGCAGGCGAGTGTTACGCTCTGTGCCCAGCAGCCACCAGCTCATTGAAGAATAGAAATCAAACACCCGCTTGTCCTTCAATAGGAGCCGTGGGGAATGATGTATTTGTCATCAAAGTCATCCTGCCTGCCCTTAACTGCCCCTCTGAAAAAACAAAGACACATCTGAAAAGATTCAAATCAATATGTCTTCAGCACCTCAACATTGTTGTTCATTATTAATGTGTTTGGGATTCTCGAAGAAGCTATCAGAACTATCGGATTCAAGAGGAAGGAGTCTTTGTCAAGACAGTTATCGCCCCCCGTGGAGAGGCTGAATGATGTGAGCGGCAGTGTAGCGTAACAGCAGACAGGTAACTGGAGCAGAGGACGTCTGGCCTCTAACATCCAAGTGGTAATCGGGCCAGATAAGAGGAAGAGGGGAGTCCTCTCATCGGAGTCCCAACACCAGACCACAACCACATCAGCGGGAATCCTTGCAAGGCAGTTGAAATGCGATACGCGTTGTTATGAAAGGAAATACATGTTTTAAGAGGGACGGAAAATCAATATCTCTGACTGACTCAGAGCAAATCTGGGCGAGCTCAAAAAACCTGCATAAAATGGAATAAAAATGAGTCTGACTTAATAATCCTGACTAAGCCTGTATAAGGAAGCCCTGGCAGTCAAGACAGTAGATGGATCAGAGAACAGACAGGCATGCATGCATTATGCATCGTTGTGAAATCTCTCCGGGTAGAGCACACATTCACAAACTTATCCTGCATTTGCATCACTTATTGTTCGTGTACAAGTACACCAAATGCACAACGTGTGGGTGAGCTCCCCACTGCCAAAGGACAATAATGCTGGTGACTTGAATGACACATCAGATAGAAGCTACCTGTTAATATCATTACCGTTAAATAATTACCCAATACTTTGCTCTCACATTCACACAAAGCTACTGCTGAGCACAGCAGCACTTTCTTATCTCCCTCACTCCTCTTCTCTTTCCCTCAGCTGATGTTAACATCTGACAGCTTTGTGTGTGTGCCGATGTAGATTTTTTTCTTTAATTAAAACACTGGAGGTCTTAATTGGACATAACACTTTATTCTTGGGCCCCACCCGCTTGCCCAGCTCCCTTTCCTCAAACTCTTTGATCCTCCAACCAAATCTTTCGAGGCAATAATAGTTTCCCCTGTTCTCAGACTCACACATGTGCTTGAGAAGCAAAGAGCTCACTTTAAAACAGGAAACACAGCCTAGTGTTCTCTTGGAGTTTCAGTGTATAAGAATTTTGAATTTCTTTCCAATTAGATTTTCTTCAAGTGACCTTATCTGAATTAGTTTGACTTAAAATTAGCTAAAACATGATTATTGAAGCGCCGCAGAAGGTAGTTCTGCTCGTTGTGGTGCATCAGACACTTTCTAAGTGCATAAATCAACCTCAAGACCTTTGCTGTCAGAGAAATAACTCTTGAAAGTGTTTCTTAATGACAGAGCTTTATTGTTTTACAGGATTATAGACTTTGTAGAAAATTGTCCACCTTCACAAATATTGATTTAACTGCCCGAGACCACAGGAGTAACACACTTGATGTGAATTCAGTTTTAGTGTGGATTTTCTCTTTAAATCTGTTCTCTGATCCCTCTGGCGTCAAGTAGCATATGAGCCCATTACTGGAGAGCTTAGGGAATTACATCGGCTCTGTGAAAACTAGACATAAAGGAGAATTTTCTCTCACGGCCAGGGTAAACAAAAGAATGTAATAATAGATATACCTGCAAAATTTCAAGCTTTTATTTATATATATAACATTGATAGAATGTCATGGCGACTACCACTAGAGGTGTGAGCTGTAAATTAAGTATCGATTAAGCCTTTCATTTGTTTTCTGTACACTTTTCTTTCTACCTTGCTGATAACTGTGTACTTTCTTTCTCTATTTTCTTCTTCCACCCCCCACCCCCACCTCCTCTCTCTAGGTGGCCCTGGGTCAGGAAGACGACTCTTCCAGCACCAATAGCTTTTCAGACGACTCCTCCAAGACGGTGGGCCTCCTGAGTGGGCAGGCCCCCCTGTCGCCCCTGAGCCGCTGGATGCTCCAGAGTAAGAGCAGAGCTGCTAACACCACCTCTCTGGAGCTGCCCTACCGCACCCCCATCCCTTTCTCCAAGCAGGAGTTTTCTAAACAGGAATTCTGGGAGATGTTGGGGAGCGACCTGCTCAAACCCGACTCCTCCAGCTCCAGGGTCAAACGTCGGCCCATCGTTAAGACCGGGAAGTTCAAGAAGATGTTTGGCTGGGGAGACTTCTATTCCAACATCAAGACGGTGAGGCTTAACCTGCTAATCACCGGCAAGATCGTGGACCACGGTAACGGCACGTTCAGCGTCTACTTCCGTCACAACTCCACGGGCCAGGGCAACATCTCAGTCAGCCTGGTGCCACCTGTCAAGGCGGTGGAGTTTGACCTGGAGCGCCAGAGCGTAGTCTACCCCAAGGACTCAAAGATCTTCAACTGCCGCGTGGACTATGAAAAAGTGGATCGCAGCAAGCGCACCTCGCTGTGCAACTACGACCCGTCCAAGACCTGCTTTCAGGAGCAGATTCAGAGCCACGTGTCCTGGATTTGCTCCAAGCCTTTCAAGGTCATCTGTATCTACATTTCCTTCTACAGTACGGACTACCGCCTGGTCCAAAAAGTCTGCCCGGACTATAACTATCACAATGAGATGCCCTACCTGCCCTCGGGCTAGAAGACTCTCAGGGGGGAGGAGAGGTGGGAGGGGAGAGGTACAAGGGGGTGAGTAGGAGTGACTGCAAAAACGAGGAGGAAACCGGGGCTGTGAATCATCCTCAATGCCATTGTGGCAGCAAGACACCTTCAAAAAAAGCTCTGAATATTGTAAGATGTATTTAACATATATGCAAAACAAAAAGTACAGTATGCAGATAATGAGGACATTTGGAATGTGGAAGTGCAGCATTCATTAACTGGACTGGTATCGAAAATCAAACGCGCACTTTCTTACTTCTTTCCAGTTTCTAAATGCCAACTTGTCTCTCGCCAGCTAATTCTCTCTCCCATGAAGTCATTGGTGAATGTTGTCTGAATGTCCTTTCAATCACCCTTTACTACATTGCTCTTCTGCAAAGTCACAAGGCAGCATTTCCAGAGAACACTTGCATATAAATCCTTTGATATGATTCACTGGAGAGTTGTATACAAATGCAGACTTTATGACAAACATCATACTGTACAGTGTTTATCATCGCACACTGTACATGATTTAAACCCAGAGGGAACACACAGAGTTGTATTTCAGATGAATGTAAAGCGTAAGCACCCACTGGATCATTGCGGTGACACTATAGAACATCTTTTTAAAGGGCATATTTTTTTGTGACATTTAAGTCCGTCCCAAAAAAAGTTCTTATTCTTACCCATTTCCTCACCCCACTGTCCCCATCCCACCATCCCATTGTCAATGCAGGGTTTTTGTTTGCAGTCTGCCAAACGTAATCACAATATATCTCTCAGTAATGCCACCTCCATTTCAATAAAGGAGGGAGAGAAAAATAATAAAAATGTGCAAGAAAAAGCAATTGCTCAACAAAGATCCAGGGCCAGGGCTTAAGACAAGTTCAGTGCGAGGAAAATAACTAGATTCTGCATAGAGATAGAATTGGCCCTCTACACTTAAGAGAGAGAGGGGGGTGGGGAGTGAGAGAGGGAGAGATTCAGTGAGCTGTTTTAATTAAAGTGGAGAAGAAGACTTGGAGTATGCATCTGCTTCTATTGTCCCCTCTGTATGAAAAAGATTACATTTTGTTGCCGTCAGGATTCCTGATTTCACGCCTTGATAACTTTGACTGTGTAAGGCAGATTGCTCTCTCCCGACAAATTCTGTGTTCTCTAAAGTCTGCCTGTTATCTTGAATAAATGAAAATATTATCATAATAATTACCTATAATTTAATCTCCTTTAGAAGTAATTAAGGTTTCAATGAGAGGGCGGCGAAATGTATTCCTAAAAATCAAGTCAGCGAGTAGGAGGATAGGAAGAGGTTCATGGGGATAGTTGTGTTTTTGTGTGGAGCCGGCCCTGAGTTAACCGCTCACATTAAGATAAATGACCACTGGCTGGCTCATGTTGCCCTCATAGACAGTATCAGGAAAGGAGTGCTAGGTATTATGTAGCCTGACTTTGTTTTGGTGAGAGGCCACAGTGACTTTTCTGGTGAACAGTCACAAGACAGGTGTGAAGAGTCATTAACCGGTGACATCAGGAGATGTGTTTGATGCCAACGTGCTGTGATGTCAGGGATTTAGCTAAGAGAAAGCTTGGCGGCCACGGGGGCTGTGCAGCCGTGTCTCAGGTGGATGGCTCGGCAGTGAGTGGTCACCATGAAGCCGTCCTCTTGTGGGGGGTGGTGTAAGGCCAGATATAATTGCGTTGCCTTGGCTGTTCTGTGTGAAATAAAGGAGCAAGACTAGGAGGAAAAACACAGTCACAGGGCTAAAGATAGAAAAACAAAGACCTGTAAATCTGCACATCAAAGCTCTGCGATCCTTAATTCACTTTGAAAGACGGGGGTAGCTGTAGCTCCTCTCCATATGCGACTTAATCAACTTGTGGCCCAGAGCAAATGGCAGCAGTGCATGAGTCAGTCTGCAGGGGACAGACAGCTACACCACCCGCAGCAATGATAAATGCTTTTCATCTGGCTAAAGCAAACCTCTGTCTCCTCTTGCGTGTGATTGTTTTATTGAAACAGATTTTTCAAATATCAACCTAAAAATTACGCTGCATTGCCATATGTATCGAGGATAACTTATTTTCTCTCCGACTACACTTGTTCTTGATGTATCACAAATATGTTTCTCTTCAAACTATGCTGAGGTCCACTTTCAAACAAGGTCGAGAGAGATAAATGGGTCGGACAAACGCCAGACTTTTACCCAGGAGAACGCTCTTTGTGTCCTGGGTCAAATCTAAAGTCAAGGTTGACATTTGTACTTCTCTAACTTTAGTAGCAAACATACATATTTTAAGCTTAACGATTACATTTCTCACAGTTTTGTTGCGTTTTTGTTGAAACCCACAACCTCATATGTTTCCCTCGAAATATAATTGAGTAAGCAGTTATGTTGCACAGGACCGTATTATATATTCGACAATGTTGCCTATATACACCGATATATGTTGACATGTGTCTCAATATAAATAATGTGAGTGGAATTTCCTAAAAAGGGGACCACCACTGAGAGTGCCAACTAGGAGAAAGCTTGTAAGGACTACTTCTTATTCCGACCACATCACAGTAATGCAGCATTAATATTTAAAGCATATAAAGAGTCCCAGCGGAACATGCAATATAGATGTAAGTCCTGTCTGCTGATGAGATACAAGGCTTGTAAAATGCACATCAACCAGCATGAATTAACCACTGCCTCTTGCTCTGTTCATTCATTTCCTCATCCTCCATCTCTCTGCCCCTGTCCACATGTTTCTCAGCCATATGTCCTGCAGAGTTCACGCTGTTGTCTCCCTGTGTGTGACCCGGCTGACTGCCCTCAGCCTCCATGGTCTCGCTACCTTGCTTACCCTGGTGTTGAACCCTGCGGAGGGTAGTTCCTCATTGCTGCTCCTCCCGGCCCCCTGAGCACAGCGCTGAGCTGAGCTGGCTAATCCCTGAGCTTAATGCCGAGCTAACAGAACATCAACAGCGAGAACATTCCTCCCTCCTTTTGTATTTATCTATTCCTCTCTATATCTGTATCCCATCAAACAATTGTGCGTTCACGCATAGTCTTAAGATGTGCTGGTTTAGGTATTTTCCTCTCCCCTGTTCAAAGCATCCTACATAAACCCCTGGATTGTGAGGACATAAAATCTCCTCGAGAGAATGCCAATGGAGTGCCCGACACAGATACGCCTCAGTAACCTCAATACTCCTCTCCCCGCCTCCCGCAGGGCGTCCGGAGAGAAGCTGGATACTCACACATGTTGGAATCAAAGCTGGGCAACATGAGCCCACAGCAGTGAACTTGTGAAGAAAAAAAGGACACATGTTGGGCTACATGCTGGGAGCAAGCCCCTCACTCTGTTCCTTACTCGTCCTCTCAGATTCAGAGCAATACACTGAGACTCCAACCTCTCCGCCTCTCTGGGGCGAACTAAGGAAGGCTGCTGGACTAAGTTTAGGAGGCGATCATGTTGCTGTGGGATGGACGGTGTTAGCCTTACTGTTGACCCATCTAATGCCAACAGACATGTGGATATTTGGCCTTAGAGACTGCAACACCAGTCCCCTCAGCAAAGCATAGTAACAAAACCTGACCTTTCGAAAACATAAATATACATATAAATATATATATATATATAAAAGCTAAGAGTCCTCAGATCTGAATAAAGTTGTATTTAAATGTGGGTCATGCAGTGGAGGTTGTCTGTTTAATCTTTTGTGTTCCTCATGGTTTTCTTTCTCTATGTCATGTGGATGATATACTGTATGGATGATATGATGGCATTTACTGTGCTTTTCAACAGTCAAAAAATCAATAAAGTACACAGAAGTACTTGAATCACTTCAGTCTTATATCTGGTTGTGCTTTATGTGTAGGAAGAGAATGCCAACAATGCTGAAGTCTCTTTTTTCCCTCATATTTGCATACCCATACTGTGTGCCAATGGCAACAAAATATGTGATAATTTCTTTTTTGCCGCGGGCTGTTGCAGATATACATTCAGAGTGAGAAACAGAAGAAGAACAAGGAGCAGAGAGGAAAATGGGGTTGAAAGGGAGAGGGAGGAAATGTTTCAACTGGAATGATTCATGAACACAACACCATCTACTAATTAGCCTCCTTTTTTCTCCATATTTTCCCTTTTCTCTCCACTTCTCTCACTCTTCTTTGTTGTGCATTTTTACGTTCCCTGCTCATTTTAAGATGTAATTGACATTAAATTAATTATCTTCTTAATTACATCTTGAAAACTGTTAACGAGGAGACGGGTTGAAAAATTCAGCTCACAACATCCTTTAAAACAAGATCGATTAAGGCATGGCTGGAGGCAAAGCCAAGCCCTCCACCCCTCCTCTACGCCCCCCTGTTCCCATAAAAGTGCTGCTTGCCTCAGGATAACCTTGCCGGAGATGATGAAAGGGAAGCAAATAAGTCAACATGGAGACAGAAGAATAGAAATCTAATTTGGAAGAAAGCAGGATTGAGGTTAATGTGATAATCTGAGAGCAGCATATGGGTCAACAAGCACATGGTCAGGTATACAGCAACACGTGCACACAGAGGGTGGAAACTGCAGGCAACAATCATTGATAATGGACATAATGTTTTACAAGTAGTACGGAGGCTTTGGGTTGTCCAGTAAAATAAAACAATTCAGGAGTGTGAGCTTCTCAGAGAGGAAAGGGCATTTCAGCATAATGGGAAGCTGGACTATAGTCAATTGAGAAAATAACTAGTCATGGCGTGAGGAGGCGGGAGTAGGCGTGCAAAGCTTTAAATGATAAATAGACATTCAGAAAAATAACCTTGAGGTATGAAAACGTGTGTCTGGGAAAACTAGACTAAATATGTAACGAGAGACAAGGAGAGTGAGAGAGAAGTCAGAAGGGACGGCGCTGACTCCTTGTTAGCACTTTGTTTTGAATAACAAGGCCATCAGGTTTGCAATTTTATCCTGTACCATAATAATTATGTGTCATTTTCCTTCATGACATGTTACACCACAAAGTGTAATGTTGCACACGGCAGCATCATCCCCTTCCTAACAGTGGTGACAAAGTCGAAGCTCAACAGCACTCTCATTTCTTCACACTCTGAAATCATCAACGAGGATTAAGCTGGTATACCAGAGTGATGATATACAGAACCTGGGTGGTACTGAAGTATTATTACAAATCTGATTTCATCAGTCATCTGTAACTAATATGATACAGGTTTCTCTGTCAGCCTGCAACCCCTGCAATAAGGATAATCTTCTTTGCATAATTCTGTTTTTAATCTATTTTTGTAAATTATTTCTTCATATAAATTACTAATGTATCTGCAAATCTCTTAATATAGAAACGGTGTGTTGGGTTAGCCTGTTAACCCATCTGAAAATGTCATTAGTCTGGGTTTCAGAGATTGTGTGTCTCATTATAGTGTAAATGTGGTTTCAAAGGCTTTTTCACCTGGAGAAGAATGAATTCTGTGCATTTATAGATATTATGTGAAACTTAAAGCATAATGTGGTGAGTTATACATGTTTAATTTAAAAAAAGATGAATTCATATATATATATAATATATACAAAAACCTAGTTCACCATTAACAGTCAATCTGTCTCCACATCAAGTGAAACTGTGGCTGCAGATCTTATAGAAGCTGATTAGGGCTTTTGTTACCCTGGATACCATCTCCACAGCGTACCTTGCTGCACTCCCGCTGAATTCAAATATACTTGATGTTCTTTGATATTCTGGATCATGTGTAGGGGTGGTCATGGTCACGCTCTTACTACAGGCACACAAGTGTAAGAGCAAATGTACATGGACACACACACGCACACACACACACACACACACACACACACACACACACACACACGCACACACACACACACACACACACACACACACACACACACACACACACACACACACACACACACACACACACACACACACACACACACACACACGCACACACACACAACACAAACACACCTTAAGTGGTTTCATGCTTCAGCATCCTAATAGTCTCTCTGCCCATACCACGCCAATCATGGAGCCCGGAGAAGAGTGGACAAGCAGGTGGCCCCAGTCTCTGCCACAGAGCATCATGGGAGAGGAGTTACATCAGACAAGGACAAATACAGGATCAGCCTCTCAACCCCTGTGGCTTCTACTTATGATAGAGCGCTGCAGCCCCTATCAGTGTATTTCCACAGAC